TGCAGTTTTTCCATAAAAATGCATTTGCTGAGGTTATCAGAGAGCCATGGTTTACTTTACATATACTTTGGTTTGCTCTTAATAGCCTCCTGCTTAATTTATTTAGAGATTTGAAAACATGGAAGGGAAAAAAGTAGACTTTTTTTTTTTCCTTTAAGAACCAAACGATGCCTCAGAGAAAGAGGAAGTGATCTGTCTACAGTCACTTCTTTTTTACTTTCAATCATGTATTCCATGTTAGAACTCATTTGGTAGTTGATAGATGATCTGTAATGCAGAATTTCTGTCAACATAGCAAAGTGGTTTAAAAAATATTGACTTAATTAGATTTCTTTTGTGTGACATGCCTTCCATAGAGTTGGAATAAATCCTCCCACGGCCTAAATTTTTTAACTTTGTGTACTGCTTCAAGAATATGTAGTGAGCAGTGCTTTACACTTATATCATGAAACACAGCAATAACTTATATTGAGCACATTCTTGTTTCTGAGATTATGACTTGCCCAAATACCCTTCCCCCACATAGCCGATGACCACATCTTGTTGACGCTACTTCTATTCTTCAATAGGTCTGTTTCTCCCCAGTCACACGAATACTGCCTTTGTAGGAGCTCTTTTCACTTGACACTTGGAATTCAAGGAGACCTTCTGTCTAGCCTCCCTGCACTCCGTTTTAACCCTCTCTCCAGTTCATTCTCTACTCTGCATTCCAGAAGTTGTTTTAAATTGCCGAGTTTCATAAAACCCTCAGTAGCTTCCTTTGTCCTTAGGATAAAATCTTATAATTCTTGACTTACTTGGTCCTGCAGAATATGGCCCTGCCTACCTCTCCAGGCCCATGTCTAGCCCTCATCTCCCTGGTTCTCCTTGTTCCAATTATATTACATCTTCCAGTTCCTTGAAGTCTCTCTGCTCTTTTGCCTCTGGGACTTTAAATGTGTTCCATTGCCCACAACACTTTGCTGCCTGCCTAATTTCTTTGTATATTTCAGGTCTCTGTTGAAAGAACATTTCTCCAAAGTTTCCTAGAATTAGGTTCCCCTTCCTATATGCTTCCATGGCACACTTCCTTTCGTAGCATTTGTGATTATTGGATTTATTCCTCTCCTCCCTCTTGTATGTAGACTCTAATCCCAGAGACTGACACATAGTGTGACGCTGCTAAGTAGTAGTTGAATAAATTATCTCTGAAGGATTATCAAGGTCTGTGAATATCACTGAGAAAAGATTAAGGGGTAAAATTAAAAGATTACAATAAGCTATAATCGTTGGAGTTAAAAAAACAACAACATTGCTGCCCTTCATGGCGCCATTACTGTGTGCCAGGCACTGTCCAAGGTGCTTGCGAATGTCCCATTTAATCCTTTGATCTAGGTGATAGTATTCCCATTATACAGATGAAAAATCTGAACCTCAGGGAAGTGAAGTGGCTCAAAGTTACACAGGTGAAAAAGTGGTAGAGCCAAGACCTGACCCCAGGATTCCTTCCTTAAGAGTCTGTTGTTCCTTACTGAGGGCAGGGACCCTAGCACCTTGCATGGTGCTTGGCATGTGCTAGGTTCTCTCTTAAAGAAAGGAAGCCAGAGTGCATACTGAAAAAATGTTACCCAAGGCTATTTTTTTTAATTAGCTTTAAATGGGCGTTCGGTGAAATTAAGATCTTAAAAAAGATTAGTGGTAAAAAATTAAAGTTTGGAAACTTTCTTGATAATATAAAGGGCTCCATATCAGAGCATACCAATTGAGTTCTTGCATTAGTTTTTATACTACCCGATTTAGCCTCTGATACCATTTATAGTTCTCTAACTGTACACATCCTTCTCTTGGTGGCTTTTTATACACCCAAGGGAAGACAATGGATGTCATTATAACGTAATCCTTGGCTATCTTCTTAGAGAAATACCAGCTGAAAAGATTGTAACAACTGTCTGTAATATCATGCAGAGTTCAAGCAGCTTTATTCAACTGAAGCAAATTCTTTGGTACCTTCAGTGAACCAGAATCATTTTAAAAAGAACAGGAAAATTAGAATCGTATCCTCTAAATTAGCACGTTTTAGAGTGTGTTCCGTTTTAGTATAGATTGAGCTTAATTGGGTATCCCCTGATGGCCAATTCAGCTAAGGATAGGAACTAGATTTCATCAGGGTCCTTAACAGAAGACCATGGAACTAAAAAAACACTGACTGCATTGCCAGAAATTGAGTTTGAAACATCATGGCCAGGAATTTAGTCATTCAAATAGATGAAGATTAAAGTGAATAAAATAGCAAGAAGCAGTTCAAGAATGCAGCGTGTCATACTTCCTATATATAGTTCCAGGGATAGAACCTTCTAGTTTATTCAGTCAACAGAGACGCAGCCACATGATACCCTTGGCATTCAAAGTTTCAGTACTTGCCATTTTAACTATTATATTTGACCCCAAAGATCGAAGACAAGGGACTATTTGTAATTTTGCTGAGGCACAGATTTGAATGCTATTTAAGATTAATGATAATCCTTAGTGAATGAGGCTGATTGCTTCGGAACCCATGGCTCTCGGCAGTTATTGTTGCTCTCCTGTGAAAGATCTAAAAGAAAGGTCATTTAAATGCTTTGATATGCTCTCCTTTTTGAATCTGAGGGAGGAAATTATATGCTGTAGTTGTATTTACAAATTTAAAAACTGAAGAAGGCCATGAGATATATTCTTTGGTGGTCTACACTCCTCAGTACAATATGCTTTCTCATTACTGCTGGCTTTGGGGGCAGGCTCAAACTTTTAACTCGCTAGTTCTCCCATGAAAACAGGTGGAGCAAAGAAATAGATTCATGGACTGCCCCCAATGGAAGACAAGTAATACGCCAAGTGGAATTGTAGATTGTAAAGATCTGTGCTTGAAAGGGACAAATCCTGCTGCAAGGTCAATTTCACAAATCGTTAGAAAGGGGTGTGGCT